AAGATGATTTTTTTTTTTTTTTTATAAAAGCGAGATATATTTAAGATTGTGAATTGACATGGATTAAAAAGTATACTAAATAAGATTGGTGTAATATTAAAATAAGAAAATATTAATTGATATAATTAATGATAAAAATGATGTGAATTGATAAATAGTCTTAAAAGTAATTAAAAATATATATTTTTGGTTTTTGTATATGATTTAGTGAAATCGTAAGAAAAAAAATAGGATGATAATAAAAAAAAATCTACTTATTCAATGAAATATTTCGACCAAACTGACGTAAATCAGGTAAACGACAAAAAGAAGGAGCTTTCTAACAAAGAAAGTCTTTTGAGGTTTGAGTTTAGATGTGGGACCCACGGAATTGGATTTCATTCGTTGGCTTATTTGTTGTCAGCAACATAACACAGGGCTTATATTCAAGAGCAAAATTGCATAAAACAAGTACATTTTTAGGTGTTTGTACTTTCGTCACCACTTTAATATTTTTTATAATTAAAGACATCAGTTTAATCTATTTTTCAAGTTAAAAGCACCGTTGCTGTGGTTGAGGTAGTTTGGCCTCATCTGCTGTTGGGGAATGAAGTTGGGTCGGATCGAGTTGCTGCTGCATGAAATTGGGTCGAGATTGCAGGACATTGTTGTTGTTGTTGGACCACGTGAAGTTTGGATCACGGGTTGTACGTGTTGGAGAACAGGTTGTTGACTTGCCGAATCTGATACCCCTGTAGGGCATTGGCGTTTGCATATTGTTCCCTGAAGTCCTACTCGAATGCTGACAAGCATACCTCTGACTTGTTCCCTTGGACTCCACACGCTCTGCATGCCTCAATAGCCATAGTTTGCATTGGTTGAACTCCTCGTGCATTAAGTAGTTGTATCTGTTCTGTGAGTTCGGCTATCTAATGGGTCATAATTTCTTATCCGGGAGATACTTCATTGACCATGGTCTTCTTTCCTCGAATGCTCTTTTGAGACGAATTAGAACTCATCGTCTAAAAAATATCCATCATTTCCTCAGCCGTCTTTGTCCCGATATCTCCAACATTCGCATTATCTACCTTGTACTGAAGGTTCTGATGGGGAGAGTCATAGAAGCTGCTCATCAATAGAGCCGGTGGAAAATTGTGGTGCGGGGGAGATCCTTGAAACGCTCTCACGCCTCATGGAGTGGCTCGTTCGACTGTTGGGCAAAAGAGACAATCTGTGGCCGTAGCTCCTGAGTCTTCTGATGGGAGTAGTACCTCCCAATGAACTTCGAGTACTGTTTATTGTGTTTTTGTGCTTATTTTTGTGTGTTTTGTGTGCTTTGTTTTATAGTTTTTAGGCTCGTTTTAGTGTCGACCGGTCCATTTTATCGTGTTTTGTGTATTTTTGTTATTGTATAGTGTTTTCGTATTTTTTGCGCGTTTGTCTTTTGTTTTGGTGTTGAATAGGTCCACCTTGGCGAGAACGAGGAGACGAGCCGTCCAACCGGAAAATCCGCCCAAGCCATATCGTGACGAAGAGAATTCAATTAGGAGAATATGGATCCAAGTTTCGTGCGAATTGGAGTTGTGTGCAAGAAGTTAGAGCAAATCGAGCATCAAGAGGTCATGGGACCATTTCCAGCCAGCGAAAAACGATTTC